CCCCGAACTAACCCACCGCCCAACCCGCCCCCTAACCCTCCTCCTCCCGAGTTGCCACCCCCTAACCCGCCCCCAAATTCTCCCCCACCTGAATCGCCAACCCCAGATTATCCACCCCCCGATTGTCCTCCCCCCAGTATGCCGCCACCTGACTCTTTCCCTCCTCCGCAAAACCCGCCTCCTAACGTTTCTCCTCCAGATTCCCCGCCTCCTCTTTCTGCCAATCCCCCGCCCCCTAGCCGTCCACCCCCACTTATCCTCCCACCACCAAACCCTCCCCCAATGACTTCTCCTAACCCTCCCCCTCCCGCTAACCCTCCTCCTGCTAACCCTCCTCCCCTCCAACCGCCTCCTGCAAGTCCGCCTCCTCCAAACCCGCCGCCTTCAAACCCGCCGCCTTCAGACCCGCCTCCTATAACTCCCCCTCTCAGCCCCCCTCCAAGTATTCCCCCTATTCTGCCCCCACCCCCACGCTTTTCACCCCCTCTTTTCCCTCCTCCCCAGCTCTCGCCGCCGGCTAAGCCGCCCGTTAACCCGCCTCCTAACCCCCCAGCTAAGCCTCCCCCCAGCTCACTCCCTCCTCCCCACCAAGGTACTCCCCCCCCCCGAAACCACCATCAAATCCACCCCCCATCCTCCTTCCGCCGCCTTCCTTCCCCCCTCCTTCGCTTCCCCCCCCAGAGCCTCCCCCTCGCGACTGCCCCCCCCTCGAGCCTCCCCCTGCGAAGCCCCCCCCGAGGCCCCCCCCTGGCGCGCCACCGCCAGTAACCCCGAGTGCACTGCTACTGACCTTCAACGCTAGTAACGCGTACCCCTTCCCTTCCTTCACGCCCGAAGGTAGGAGAACCGAGCCTTCAGAAATCATTTCTACTTAGCTATCTACGACGAAAGATTTTCCTAAACGTAGCGGATCTTGTGAAGGATGAAAACACGCGTGTTTGATCTTCAAAAAGATGAGATTATGGTCCGCTCCGCAGAGTATGCTCTACCTGGTCCAGCAAAAGCCTGCTGGTTTCGAGCTCGGGAAGCGCTATGAGAGCGCTATGGGGTCCTGGTATGTTCTACCGTTCCACGTAACCTGCTGAATGAGCATGTGTAAGCGCCATGCGAAGCGGCAACGCGTGCCTCGATTCAGAGTGTGTGAGGAACTGCCAGTTTCAACTGCTGAGTAATTAACTTTTTCCCGACAAGCCTCTGTTGAAAACACTCCCTCTCCTGAAGGATATCTCCATGCAAAATATATTAGGTTCGGTCCGAGTCGCTTCTGTGGAACATACGTTATCGGGACGTTACTTGCATCCAAGGCTGCCAAAGACAAGGTGAAGTACTTGCGTCTTCCACGCGCTAACGGACCAACTGATCTGTAATGCAAATGCACCGAACTTCGAACTTTGCTGTGGCAAATCGTCCACAGTTGGCGCTCCGGGGCTCAGATTAACGTCATATGAATAACATTTCCTGCAGGGACCCTGTACTCGCTTTTCTTGCCGAAGGGCCAAACCTCGTTGAAGTTACAAGTGAGCGCGGCCGATCCCAGTGCGACCATCACGGCCATACCCCCGACGGGAACGATGGCAGCCCTACAGAGTGGCGTGCTGTCGGACAATCTACAAGTTGCTACTGCGGGCGTGCTTATCATTAGCGTCACGGTGAGATTTTGGCAACTGTACAACTACGGAGGAACATCAGTGAGCTGTGTCAAATCGTCTGGTCCCAGCTTCTCAACGAGACTGAGCGGCTTTGCCTGATTAACACCTGGGTTTAAGTACCGTAGGTGAGTATCATTTGCCAGTTCGAATGGTAATAATAGATACACAGTATCACTTTCTGCCTTCATTATTCAATCTCAGCTCCACTTTCATAAACCGGTCAGACTTGGTACCTTATAATCAGCCGGTGTATCAGGTCTAGGATTTGCGCACAACGCAGGCAGAGTATTGCCCAAGTCGCGAAGAGGAAGAGACTTTTGAAAGAACGGTCGTCCGCTATGGTCAAGAGAGCCCTGGGTTGACCTTCTACTGCTTTCACTCGCCCTTCAAATCGCATAAGACATGTCCGATGAAGTATAAGAACTCTACTCAAAATAGAATTGTCTCTGAAGTTACTCGTTTTTCTGCAGTCGTCCGACGGGCTCCGTTCCAAGCTCTACTACTTCCAGGTCGCGTGGCTCCAGGGCGCGGACCCCTCCCTCCAGCTCCTATACCTCAGCACCGCATTGCTTATCCCCCCCTTCTCGCCGACCACCTTCAACTACACCGCCCAACTCAACCAGGGGAGTGCTTCTGTTATGCTCATCGCAGTCGCTTCAGACACAGCCGCCACACTCACGCTCGACTCGGGGAAATCTCAGAGGGGGCAGATCTCCCAGCAGATTCTGCCCCCCGCCGTGGTGCGGCTTGTCGTCCAATCCGAAAACCTGCTGAGCGCCTATACGTATACGGTGACGTTGCTGTCGGCCCCGTTGGCGCCCTTGCCGCCGGCAGCCAATCTTCCGCCGCCACGTGTTGCCCTCAGCCCGCCCCCGCCCCCGCTCACTGTAATCCGCGCAAAAGTCATCTTCGTTACTGGAGTCCCTTCTCCGACCCGTGCCACGTCAGCATCTTTCACGTTCTACGCGATTGAGGGGGGGACTTCGTGCAGCTTATGCTCCTTCTACTGCAGCCTGGACCTGGCCCCCTTCAAAACGTGCGCGTTCGACGGGGCGCCCGCTTATGACCCTTCGCTCCAGCAGCTTATCTACGCAGTCCCTGTCTCCGGGGTCACGGCGGGAACGCACACGTTCCAGGTGCTCGCGTTAAACGGTAACGGCTTCAGCAGTGCCCCCGCGAGCGTCACGTGGGTGGTCGACACTAACCATCCCCTAACCACAATTGTGGCCAACGTTCCCGACCACCGACCGACCAGCGTTCAGAACGTCGTATTCAATGTGAGCGTCCGGGACTGGGCGCCGGACGGAGTGACGCTGGTCTCGTGTCCAGATTGCACATCACGGTGCCGGATTGAAGGCGGAGATTTTGCCCCGTGTCATCAGGGCGCGCCCATAAGCTACTCCCTGCAACCGGGGTCGCACACGTTCGCGGCGCAGAGCATAGACGTGGCCGGCAACGAGGAGAGCCTTCCGGTGACGTTCACGTTTGTGGTGAGCTCAAGCAGGAAAGCGTTCATCCTTTTGCGAATATTGCTTCCCGATCCCCACTTGGACACGCGCAACGTTTATTCGCAGGCGCATCGTTGGGTTGCGAAGCGCATCGTTGAGTTGATGATTCGCAACCCATGATTGGACTCGCTTGACTTTTTGCCGGTCCTCCTGCCCTCTAATTCACCACCTTGTTGCCACAATCCAATTGAAAATTTGTCCGTGCGCCTGTCTGCTCCATAACCCTCGTTAAGAACTTCAAAGCGCTCCGTCCCGACTTCTCTTCTTTCCGTGCTTGATTCATCATGTGAAGTGGTCGAAGACCGTTCGTTCTCCTCGTTCTTCAATCATCTATCTATATCCCCGCCCTGTCTGAGCCAACCCAGCTGCCTAACCACAGCCACAAACCGCAGGCTCGCGAGGCTCAGGTCTAACCAGAGACATCCGATGGGGTGCAAAATACCCTAAAATCTGTCTTTTTGAACTACGAAGCCCTTCTTAATGTGCATTGAATCCCTTCGCCAGATCGCGCTCAATCGTCCGGAAGGTCAGTTCACGGCGACGCCCCCCGTGGTGACAGGATCGCCGACCGCTCGGTTCACTTTTCGCGGCAAAATTCTGGGCTCCTACGACCGGTGCACAAACTGTACGTTTACGTGCCAGCTGGACCAGCAACCGGGGCAGGCCTGCCTGCAGGGGACGGCCGGAATAACTTACAGGTTCGTTTCTCGCGCTTTGCCTCCTTGCGTTTCTCGTTCATCTGTCAGAGAGTGTCTTCCAAGGAGTTGCTGTCTGCGCGTTTCGAGAAGATATTATTCCTTTAGGGCGTCGATAAGACTTGAAGCCACTTGAGGAGGGTTTGTTGATGGCAGAATCCGTCCAGATCGCACAACAGAAGATAGCATCGACTTGATTCTTTCTCTCTCTTGAAGTGCTTGGCCGGCCTCAATGTTTGCAAATGCGAGCTTTACGCCTGCGACTCTTGATTCAGCATGCAACCTTAATGACCTAAGAATCCTGCTACCATAGCCTCTATCCAAATTCCACGTATCAAACGCGCTGGCCATCGAATCTTCAAAGCCTCGCGCCTCCCGCTGATCGCACCGTTCCTGCACGTTGCAGCAACCTCACCAACGGTGCCCACACCTTCTTCCTCACGACAACCGATCCCGACGGAATCCTCAACTCGAAGCTCTCATACAACTGGACAGCGGTCCTAGTCGGACCAAAAACCGGCATCTTCTCTTTTCCCCCGACTCCAACCGCACTCCCCAACGCGACTTTCCGGTTTGGCGCCGTCACGCCCGGTCCTTCCTCCCCGGTGTCTTGCCCCGGCTGCCTCTTCTACTGCGCCCTAGACTCCGGCTCCCCCCGGTCATGCGACCCGGCGACCGGCGTAACCTACGCCCCCCTCTCCGAAGGGCCCCACTCGTTCGCCGTCAAAGCAGTCGACGTGTTCGGCAACGTGGGCGCCTCCGCGGGCTACACGTGGCAGGTCAACTTCAGCCTCCCGCTCGGAAACGTGATCACCGGCCCCCCCCCGGTGACGAACAGCAGCGCAGCGGTGCTGCGGTTTACGGGCACTCTGAGAGACTTGCCGTGCGGGGGGTGTAGTTATGAGTGTCAAGTGAACGGGGGGCCGTTTCTGGGCTGCGACGCGGGGATCCCCCTGAAGTTGCTGGGGCTCCAGCAGGGGCAGCAGTCGTTGGTGGTTATGGTTACGGACAATCGGAACGTCACGACGCTGTCCGCACCGTACGAGTGAGCAACGCCAACAGTGGCTTTTGCTCCTCACCCTTTCGCCTTTGCATTTGCCTTTGCCTTTGTGCCTGTTGCTTTTGCCTTTCGCCTTCTTGTTGCCGCGTTTTTTTCTACGCGAGTGGGCTGAAAGTTGCCGGATCTTTGTTTTCAACTAAACGACGGTTGAATCTTAAGTGCTTGAGCTGTGGCACTTGAAGACTTGTTTCATTTGGAAGCTGGAACGTGATTGAAATGAGCAATCCGCGTTCGTGCGGCATCATGACAGACGAGCCGGAAGGAGTAATTCGACAGGGGATGCTTCTTCAGGCCCGTTCATCGAGGCTGGTCTTTCCATTGGCCCTTTTTGCGACGCTTAGGCATCGAGGATCTCAGGAAACGACTGCTACATTGAACAATCCGGATTTTTAGCGGCCGCGTGCACACAGGTCTCACTGTGGGCTCTTTTCAACAGGTGGGTCGTCGACACAATACCCCCCAACGTCTTAATAGTTTCCGGTCCGCCCACCACCGCGAGTTCCGGAACTGCCCAGTTCCGCTTCGGAGCAACGGATCAGATCAACGGCGGCCTGTCAGACTGCGACACGTGTACATACCTCTGCTCTTTGGACGCCCAAGCTTACAAACCGTGTCCAAACCCGGTTCTACTGACAGATCTTAACCCGGTCCTGCTAACGGGTTTAGGCGGGGAGAACTCCCTAACCGTCCACGTGTTGGCCGTTCTAGCCGTCGATGTGGCCGGTAACGTCGCGTCGGTTGCTGCCAGGTATACCTGGGTCGTGGACAAACGGCTTCCGGTGATAGGACTGGTGTCTGGTCCGCGGAACTCGAGCAGTGTAGTCAGCGGAACGGTCGTCTTCTCCGCCCGGGACCATTCCCCGGGTGCGACATGTGCCAATTGCACCGCGCTTTGCGTGCTCGACAGTCAGCCCCCGGTCGCTTGCACCGGGAAGTTCTCAGTCAACGGGACCGTTCTCGAAGTGGACTACGAATCCCTTGGAGAAGGCCCGCACGCAGTCACGGTCTCCGTCACCGACGATCTGGGTAACACTGGGAGTTTTGTCTATTCCTGGGTTATCGATCTCATTTCTCCAAGTGTGGAGATACTAACCCCGAGATCACCCACCAGTCAAAATCCAGTTACAGTAGTCGTCAGATTCGGTGAACCGTGTCTTGGGGGCGGCGGCTTCACATGCCGCAGTACAACCTCGTGCGAGCTTGGTGTGAACGGGCAGGCCTTGCCCGACCCAAGCAGTTTCTTCCAATCCGGGGGGGGCGAATTCACGCTGAACTTCATCCCCCTGGGCGATGGGCCCATTGTTTTCACGATCGCAGCGGGCGTTTGCACGGACGCCGCTGGCAATCCAAACGCTGCCGCGAACGCTTCGGTCTACTTTGAATCGCACGGGCCGAGGCCGAATTTGAGACCCGCTCTTGACGCGCTCAGACTTCCTCCCGGGCAGGGGAGAAATCTTTCGTGGGGCACCAATAAGTCCCCGGTCGATTTCTCAGTCACTTTTGATAGACTGGTAGCAGGCTTTACCGCGGCTGAAGTGTCGGTCGCCGGTGGCAAACTTGCCAATTTTCGGAGCCAGGCGAGCCTTTTCCCGACCGGAAGCGCCTCCAACTTCAGCGCAATCCAGGCCGTCGGATCGACCGCTCTGGTCGTCATCAACGGCGGCGCGGCCGCGAGCCGCGCGCAGGGCGACAGCTTCTCGTTCCAAGTGTGGCCGGACGGGCCCGGCACAACTTTCAGCGTTTGGGTTCCGTCCAACCGCTGCACGGATTCCGTCGGAAGCGCGAACGAAGCGTCGGAAACGCTAGAGATCCTGTACGATGTAGAGAGTCCCACAGTGGAGCTGAGCGCTTACGACAGCGGTGGCGGCGATCTGAGTTCGCTGACGTCCTCCGTGCGCACGGCGGCCGTCTTGGTGCGCTTTAGCGAGCGCGTGCTGGCGTCATACGCCGCCGGAGTGACGTCAGCAAACGGGGCGGTTATCAAAGGGACGGCGTTCGGTGTCGGCCAGGTTTTGACGGCGGATTGTAGTGTGACGGGGGTTGAGGCACAGGGTGACGGGCTGGGTTACGTCATAACGGTGGCGCAAGATGTCACAGTGACACGTGGCAGTGCGCGCGTGTGGGTGGGCGCGGGCGCGGTGATGGACTTGGCTGGAAACGCGAACGCGGAGTCCAACGTGCTCGATGTTGATTTCGGTGAGCAAATCAACAGAACCCGCTTGTTAAAACTCGAGTCTCTGAGGTCCAGACAGAAAGGATATTCTCAAATTCTTCTGAAGAAGCATTCTCTCCATCTAAGGTCCTTGTACTGGATGCGTTGGTTTCAGGGGTTACAAGCTGCCTTCTGAATGCTTCTCGAAGCAATTCCACATCAATTTCAGGCCGGTTCGAACAGCACCGCTCGCTGCGCAAATTGCAGATACCGATTGCAGCTTGTTTGTCAACTGGACGGTGGCAACATGCATGTCAATTCCTTCGTTTCTGCCAGCTCTTTGAACGCGAGTGGACGACAAGGTAAACAGAAACTCACTCCGAAAAAGCTCCCCTTGTCCGTTCATCTGTGGTGTAAACCCGCAGCTAACCCGATTGCAGATTCTTAAGACACAACCAGAGTCTTGACGTTTCCTTTGGAGTCATCTTTGCCCCATTCCATTTCATGTCCACTACAGCCGACGTGGGCTCTTTGGCGCGAAAGCCTGCTCAATGCGACTCGTGGTTCTAGACCAACGGTCCTAAGCTGCACCATGCTCTTAACCTAGTTTATTGTTCAGGTTATTCCGGCTTGCTCGCCACCGCTGGCGGAACTTCGCTCAGCGTAAACTTCTTGACAGCCGCAATCGCGTCAACGGCCGCCATTTCCGCCCTCGTCGCCGCCTCGCCCGTCCTTTCCGTTCTGCTCAGCGGAGCGTCCGGCGCCGGAGCCGCCGGAATCCCGGCCTGGGCCCCCGGCGCGACGAGCTACGTCGTACAGGGAAACTTTTTGGGGTTAGCGTCAACCGTGCAGGGGTTTGCGCTCCTGCGGAAACTGGCCGTGCAGCAGCCGGCTGTGTTTACGGAAGTCGCTAATCAGCTGGCATGGACGGTAAGGGTCAAAGTCGACCTTACAGACTCAGATATCATTCTGGTCGGAAGCGCTTTGTTCCGGGGTTAGGCAAGTGGTGGTTAGTCTCCACTGTCAGTTCAGCTTTCCGCAATGTGAAGGTCAATTTAATTAAACTTCACCTGGAATTTACTTACCACTTACCTGTCCCAGATGCGGCCCGGCAGGAAGCTCCAAGTGGCTCATCACGGCCTTCTCTTGTCAGAGCCAGGCAGTTTTCTGAACCGCACACTTCTGGTAGCGCTTGAATCGAAAAGCTCTGTCTAATCTGAAAATTTCATCACGCCAGTACCTACGACCATCACTTCCAGCTTCTAATCTCCACATGTTAACTTTTAGACATCTCACTCGTTTGTGCGCAGAATCTGGAAAGTGGTTCCACCACATCGAGCGTGCAATTAACGGCCGGAACTAATCTGACACCCCCGCCTTCAAGCGCCTCAAAGCGGCGCCTCCTACAAACGAGCACCGCTGGCGCCGCTTATGTCCAGTTCAACGTGGCAGTTGAAGCACAGTGAGTATTATCACCCACTCAATGAATGGTGACCTTTCTTCAGATGAAGAGGACAACGCACGTGAGAAAGCTTCATGAGACGGAATGTGCTAGCTTGAGGAGCAAGTGCGCAGCGCACAAGGTTATTCCTGCTTCCAAGCCCGCAACTTTCAGGAACAGTGGGAGTTGCCAGTATTTATCCCTTCCAGGTTCTAAAAGCTTTCGTAATCTCATTTTCCAGGAGATTTTAGATTCGTGTGAAGGCTTGGCTTCACTCATTGGCTAGTGCCACAGGAGGAAAGCAAATATCCATGCTCGTAATCTCATTTATGGCCACTCGGAATCTTGCCTTTAAATTCCGGTTACTGCTCACCAATAAGCTCGAATTCTTCATCTTCCTGCAGCGCCTTGACAGCTGGACTCCTCTTATTCCGCGTGCTCCTGGTTCTTTCTGCCGCCACTATCCTCCGCATCTCGCTGGGGCTGCTGATCTCGCGTGGTCTCCGGCGGCCCGTTCCGGCTCCGCTGCACTTCCCTCGTCCGGAACTCGTGGCCGGACTCCTGTCCTTCTCTGCGCTGACGCAAGCGTGCGCGGCGCTGATGCAAGGTAACGCTCAAAGCTTTAGAGCACCCGTTCCGTCGTAGCTTGAGCTTCCTTGCAACGTGGATATCTTTGAGTTTGGAGTCCGAAGTCCGGGTCAAAAGGGAGATTCGCCATGTCACCAGTGTAAGCAGACGTAGGCTGGGACTGCGGCTCGCTGTTCACTTCGTAAAGCCCTAGCCCAGGTTCTTAAAACCCTAAAGCACAAGTTCCTAGAATCCCAAAACATTCAAAATTGGAATTCATCTGCAATTCCTTGCAGGTTCCGCGTTGCAGGCGTTCTGTGGCAGCGTGCTGCTCATGCTGCTCCCTTTCGGCGCAATCGTGGCTCTTCTGGCGTTTTTGGCGTCCAAAGTAATCTTGGTAAGTCCTAGGTCCGGCTCTTTCCATGGAGTCGAGCGTGTCGCGTTTTCAAACGCGGTACGAAAGAAAGGAGAGGAGAATACGGCCTCGAATGCGCGTCAACCAGATTACGAGGAAACATGGTGCTGGTTCGGATCCCATCTCCGATGTCATTCTTTTTCAAATTCAGATTGAGGAAATATCAAAAGAAGCTGGCCAAGATTTGAAAGCCGCAGATCCATTTTGACCCGGTCTCTGGCTAGTAACAGTTGCAGCACCTTCAATACGGGTACGTTTTCCGCAACCTCAACTTCTGCATTCCGCTGTATCGAATTATGGCAGTCCTTAGCGACGTTCCTGCCACCCGTCTTTCGACAGCAAGATCGACCGCTCAACAACATCACCTGGTGTCCGACCTTCGAAGATTCGCTCCCGCGTTTCCTTTCCACAAAGTTGCTAAGCCCTTCGCGACCGCTGCCTAAAAGTTTTGCTCTGCCCTCCCACTTCGATTCGCGCACGGTCCGCTCCGTGACCCCGTTGCTGACGTGCGCCATGGGCTTCCTTTTGGGATTCATTTGCGGCACCAAAAACATGGAGCGCCTATCCTTGCTTTGTTAATTCCAAAGACTCGACAATCGAAACCCGCAACAAACCCTCTTTCTTACCCGGCCGCCTTTTTGTTTGCTCAGGGTTCAGCGGTGTCGTTCCAGGAGGAGTGGAGGCCTCCTCCGCGCGCCACGTGGCGCCGGCGTATGCTCGAGGCGTTCGTTGTCACGGAGAGCACTGGCCGGTGGGTCGATGACCGCGTGAGCGGCCGCCACGTGGCAGCACGCTTTGGCATCCTCTTCGAAGCGTTCCGGGCGCCCGAAACGACTTTCGTCGTCCGGAAAGAAGTGCCGGGCCGCAAAGTTCGTCAAGAAGTAGAGCGAAGGGTTTCAGCCCGGGAGAGACCAGCACGCGACGGAAGCGGCGACGTCATCGGCAGCGCCGAAAGACCTGGGAGTGATGTCGTCTCTGAGAGGGCCCCGGAGAGCGCGAGCGCGCGGCTCGCGCGCTTCGTCGACCCGCTCTGCGCGCTCGCGCGTTTGCTCGCCACATGTCATTTGGGGGCGGTGCTGACGAAGAAGCTGATCTTTGGCGCGTTTCTCGGCGCCGTGGGTGGACACGTGGCGGGCGGGGGGCCGAACATGACCCAGCTGACGGCTCTTCTGGTCACGTGCCTGGGGTATCTGGGCTGGCTGCTTATGGGGAAGCCGTATATAAGCCGGGCCTTGCAAGCGGTTGAAATCGTCGTGGCCCTCCTAGAGCTTCTCACGCTGAGCCTAGCGGTGCAGTCTGGGCGCGAAGAGTTCAAAGGTTCCGCTAAGGACCGGGGCTTGGGAGTACTCATGCTTGTACTGCAAGTACTGGCGATCGGAATACAAATTTTGTACCAGTGGTGGGCGAGCGTGACGGAGCTCCGGGCGCAGTGGGTGCTATGGGCGGAGCGGAGAGCGGAACGCGCGGAACGCATGGAAGGAAGAGTGGTGCTAGAGCAGCATTTGGCGGTTGGGGGAGCTGAACGGGTGGAACGGACGGGAAGACAAGCGGCCCGAAAGGCACACCGGAAGGACAAAGGAGCGGAAAGAATAACACGTGCCGAGGAACTCGTTGGTGAAAGGAAGAAGGGGACAGAAAGAAGAGCGGAACGCGCGGAGTGGGCGGAAGGAGACGGATCCGGAGAGCGACACTTGACGGGAAAGCAAGCGAAACGGACAGCACGGATTGAAGGGCCAGAAAGGCAGGTTTTGCTAGAACGACCCGTGGTCGGAGCGTCGGTAAAGGCGGGAGCGGAAAGCAGAGACGGGTCGAGAGAAGCAAGGAAGGGAGCCCCGATGACACGATCCTGGGCGGAGGATGGGGCAGAAAGTACTCGGGTGGAGCGCTATCGGGGCGCCGGGCTGGATGAAACCGCGACCGGCGCGAGAAACCGGGGCAAGAGTCGGAACGGAGAAGGGCCTTTCAAGGGACCGCGGGAGGAGCGTAAGGTGATGACGTCCCCCAAGCCGCAGCGGATGCGGAAGGACGGCGACTCGTACCAGCGGAACTCCGGCCGCGGGCAGGACCTAAAGCGGAGGCCTGCGAGAGCGGAACGGCGCCCCGGAACGGGGGGGCTGGGAGAGAGCCGGCCGGCGGTGCGCTGGCCCCCGCGTTTGGAAACAGACGGGGGCCGCTCAGCGGATCCGCCGGAACGGAGCGGAACGGGGTCGAATGACTCTGCGCCTGACCGGACGCAAGCGATGCGAGCCCCGACCGCCAGTCTGTTGCGGCTGGCCAGCGGCCGGGCGTTGAGAGGATCCTCCAGCATGCGCTGGTTCGTCGTAAACGAAGAGAATGAACAGGGGGGGGAGCCGGGAAGCGGGCCCGGAGATGCGCTCCAAAGAGCGCTCAGAATGGCGTCCAGTCTAGTTCCCAGGTGGCCGGGGCAGAGCACCGAGCGTGCGGACGGGGCAACCCAGCTCAGGCGGACCAAGGGAACCGTGGCGGTGTTCACATTTGAGGAAGAGGACGTCACTCTGTGACGTCAACGATCACTGATAAATATAAAGTGCGTAGGTGTGCCATAATATGGGGGGAGGAAGCACCTTGCTTCGACGGGTTAACTGACGTAGGACTTCCATTAGGAGTAGAGCCTGGTGTGCCGTGCGCTACTTAGAAATCACCGTAGACCATGAAAGCTGGACTTAAGGCGTCAAGTTTGTTAGGGTTTGTGTAGGAAGCACCAAGTTGCGGTGCTCTTAAAAGTAAGGCCCCTTCCTGGGACCTTGTTTCGAACTAGACATTGCATGAACTTAACTATATTGTAGTCAGACCGAAACTTGATATAAGCACACTGCACCCTGTACGTAAGCGGCGCAGACAATAGCTTCCATGCACTGACATCCGCTTGAACGGAAAGTGTGACAATATGTTTGTGTGAAGGATTCGACGGCCGCCCTACCGACAAGAAAACATCAGTCAGTAGGTTGCATCAGAGATTCAGAGAATATACTTTTCGGTAATCAAGCGACAGCGTCTTCCTTTGTGGGTGAGGAGCACTCTGTCGACTCTGCACTCTGTCGACGTCTGCGAAGTGTCATTCGGTCGATGCACCGCAACACAATGCATTAAAGATGCAACGAGCAATCATTGGACATGTATGCGAGTCTTGAAGCTTGCTCAGTAGGTAAACCCGGTTGTTTGGTCGTAGTTGTCTTTATCGTCATCCTCATATATAGAATTACGAAAGTACTTTCTTATCTCATTTCATCCTTATTTTCCTGAGCCGAATCAATCAGCGATGGTGTCGGCCGGGCGGCCCTCGAAAGATGCCGCCTGGGAGCGCTTTCACGGGCCAGAGAGGCTTCATACATGTATTGAGGTGTTACTTTAAAAGTAGAGCGAGGTGCGTGCATTGCACCATGTCTCCTCCAAGATCCCAGTGGATTCATTCTGGCAGAGGCTGAATTGTTAAGGTACTAAACCTAAACCATACATGCACTCACGGGAATGAGCGGTCGCGGACCTCGCAAGGTCTTGATACAACTCGATAAACCGGCGCTGACGCCACCGTCAGCCGCCTGACGTGCAGCCAGAGCGCGGGCCGGCTGCCGGGTGTGCGCGTAGGGGGTTTGAGAAATTAGCGTAGAATAAGGACGACTCAGCTAGGAACATGCAGTCCGGGTCTATTGTAATTTATCGACAGACCATTCGAATACTGATCAACGCAATGCCTTCTCGAGGGCAATACTACCGTGATGAAGATCGTTTCCGATTAGGAACTGGTGCGGAAGATCTCAGTGAAGGCAATACCGATGAAGATCGTTGCCGATTAGAAACCGGTGCGGAAGCTTTTGAAAACGGTTCTTATCAGTCGTTCCAAAGGATCTTCCAGTGGCGGCTGCCGCTGGAAGAAGAAGGGACGGTGCCCCTTGCCCAAACTGTAGTACTAACGAGGCGAGATCACGCTACGTTGCTGTCCGCTCGTGAAAGCCAAACTTAGGTAGCTCTAGCACCTTCATTATTCTGCTTTTCGACCTCGAGTTACGTCGTTTTAAACCTGACGAGCCTGGCTTCTTGGATTGGAAACAATGTCTGATTGTGTCATGGTCCGGCTTCAGAGACTAAGAATCCTTACCACCCTACAAAGCATGGGGACTACTTGGAGTTCCCGCCCGCATATGTGCAGAAGTTCCGACCTCCGCAGAGCCCACAATCGATGCCAACACATGCTGCGCTCCCTTACGGTCCCTTAGTCACTCCAACGACTGGACTTTTTCATGCGGACCGCAGACCCGCTTCGATGGCCGAAACGCTGTCACAGCCGTCCGATCTTCAGCTAATGAAGCTAGTCTGTGAGTGCAATTTGGGCAATAGCTGTTGGCACGTATGGATTTTGGCGCAGCGATCTGACCGTCCAATCCGTTAACGTTGACAAGATGGACGGTGGTGACTGCGAAGAGGCTTGTCCCCCAGCCATTTCTCAGATCTGCAGTCCGCCTGTTTTGGCACGCTACATGCATCACATGTCCAGCTTATCAATATCAATTCGATCAGGTTGGATACAGTCAACGTGAGGTGGTCAGCGCCCAGTGGACGGGTGAAAGTTTCGAGGGGTTAAAGTGTGGATGGGTGCGGAACGCGTGGGTTTGTTTTTAACTTTTCAAACTCGTTACGTGCAATTCCGGTCCCGCAATTGTATATCTCCCGTTGGCTCAAGTCAGACTTTAGAAACGTCATACTCATTTCAAGCTGTCCGGCCCCCATGAAGAGCGTTTCAATCGCGTTACATCAGCGATCATGCGGTGCACTTGCCCCATGCTCGGGCCGGCATGCATATACGCTGCAAGAAACGGTCATCAGCATTTCTGGTCATATCTATTCCAATATAGAGTACACGAATCTGAGAAATGAAAAAATAGGAGACGAATGTATGCATGCGAAAGCCAAAAAGGGGAACGCATGCAGGTCACTGAGCGCGGCCGCGGCCGCGCGCAACAAGTATCGGAACCTTGTCCTAAAAATCAATCAGATCATCAGATAATACTTTTTGTTGCTTTGTCTCAAATGCGATCTGCGAATGAGCGTCTTCATTTCGAAGCGCTCTTGATGCTCGCGAAGCGGTGTCTAAGTGTAGCGGTTGATCAAGTTTGATGATTAAATGGTAGTTCCCTCTAATAATGTCTTAACCACCTGTACATTCTTCTCTCGAAAAGGTTTGTTCAATTGCTACGCACTAATCGCGGGTGCCAGGGCGGCTTCATCACGAAGCGCTTCACTGATGCTCTAAGTGATGGTCCAGCGGTGTCAAGAGTTTGTGGGCGGCGGGCTTCTATACCGTGACTACCTCTGCGGACGACCGCTTCTCAATAATCAACTCTGCAAACGACGGGTTTCTCGCTAACTACCTTTTGCGGACGACGGGTTTGTCAAAAACTATCTTTCGCGGACGACGGGTTTGTCAATAGCTACATTCTGCGGACGACGTGTTTGTAGAAAACTACCTTTGGCGGACGACGGGTTTCTCAATGAACACCGTTGCGGACGACGTGCCTCTAATGATCAAGGTGTGCGGACGATGGGCGTCTAAAAGCTACCCCTATAAATACGCTCTCCCCTCCACACCTGACGGACTTCTCGTTCCTATCGCTTCTGATAGTTGAGGAAGCGCACTGCCATGACCGCTAGCAAGAAGAAAATAATAACGAACCCCAGCAAGCACGCAAGTGCGACAGGGACGTACTCGTGCTTAAAACCAAGATGCGAGCGCACAAACTCCGACACCGTCTTATCTTTGGCGCCGTTGGTCTCCAAGATGTACTCGTCGTTTACGTCGCCCAATTGCGACGCGATGAGGCCGTACAGCGTCCAAGAGATGGGGTTGACTGCAAAAGAAAGACAACGGGGCTTTAAGACGGAATAGTATCATAGCAGAGAGAGTGATGTAACCAGGCAGCTCTGCTCGTAAGATGTTCAACCTGAAAGCTGCGAGCAGTTCCGTGACAGCTAGCAAGCAGTTTGTGCCGTGCAAAGGTGAGTCTGCAAATCAGAGCAGACAACAGACGCTGTAGAGTAACGTGCGTTTGGAGTAGAGGCAAGATGAAGGAACTTACTGTAGTAGTACCAAACCCACCATCCAGGAATCCGCTGCGGAACAAAGAAAACCTTTGGGTCAGCACATGAACAGACAGCAAACCCTCCGCAGGTCGTTCGGTTTTCCACCTTGGTGCAAAGAGAGGGCAAGACAGCAGCTGCAGCCTTCTCTGAGCTCGTAGGGGTCAGCTGATTAAGCGTGAAGGCCTAAAAGCCCTGAAGTCCTGAAGTCCTAGAAACGCCAGAGAATGTTGAGAAGGACAAACGGCCTGATTTTGAGCCGATAACGAAGGCAACAGATGGCACAACTGTCGGCACAGATGCTTCGTAAGAGCTCTCACAGTCTCTTAACTGCCTGGTACAGCAATTTCGTCTCGAGGGACCCTGCCCACCAAGCGGGAGAGTCTTGGCTCATCCTCAAGCTCATACCCGTACGGCCTGAATGCATTCACTGGCGCCACTGCGCTTACACATGCGCCACTGCGCTTACACAAGCGCCACTGCGCTTACACACATACAACAGCTGCTACTAAGCACAAGCAGCTGAGGGAACTCCCGCTCTGGTGCCCCTGAGGACAGAAGATGCACAATGGTCGGACAGCACAAGCGGCCCTACCGGCAGTGGGATGAGGAAGCCCGCAAAGAGGTTCCAGAAGCTGTAGAAGAACGAGCTGATGATGGAGGCGAGCGCCAGTCCGGGGGTGGCGGCGACCACCATGATGCCGTAGTAAGTGAAGATGAGGAAGGTCAGGAACATCACGGCCATGTACTCGAAAAACTTGACTGGGAAAAGGAGGAGGCGAAAGTGGGTTAGAGGCGGGTTAAGTTGGATGCCGCAAACGGCATCATTGGTCCGGCTGAGAAAGGCCTTAGAAAGCAGCCCACGTCGACCGGCGGGGTCGCTCAGGTTGCACCATGAGAAGCCTTCTTTGAAGCGACGATTCCTCTTGGCAAGAGAGGGACACAAATGGCGATTGTTCGGCTAAAGTATTGCAGGTTTGGTCAAACCGGGCCGCCTGACTCGAGTCCGGATCGAGCCGGTCGCACAACTTGTCTCCAGCCGCAGGATTTGGGCCGGTCGATGAGAAGCATCCGGGTCATCGCAGGGTCCATGTTCTGCGCTTCGGGCAAACTTTTGCGTTCCGCTCAAACAGGAATCTGGTCAGGCGGCCAGCTTAACCCGAACGTGCAATAGACAATGACTGCTGGATAAAAGTTTGGACTCACTGGCGGTCCATTCGAAGTTGATCATGGAGTAAGTGATGCAGCTGTAGAGCACCGTTTGCACCAGGACGTAAGGGACCTCGATGGCGCACAGCGCGAGCACCCACGCGGTCGGGGAATACATCCCGGCCCCCCGTTCCCGATACGAGACGGCACGTTCCTTGGAGAAGACGGGCTGAACCGAGGACGCGTTAGACGTTCCGAGGAAGAGCACCGAGGCATAGATGGCGCCCATCACGTTGAACACATTCTGCTGGGTGTTCCTGGAAAGCGAATCAAAGTTTAGACCGATGAAAACGCGCACGAATTTAGCATGCCTCTAGGGTACTCAATAGCATAAAGGAATCAAATCAACGATTTGTAGTGTCCAAAACTCAGAGTCACTTAGAATTGAGTTGTCAGGCAACAAAAAGATTGATTTGCCCCCAAACATGCCTTTCCGCAGCGGATGAGCAGACTCCGACCCAACTCAAGGAGCCATCGTGACAGTACTGCTCAGTGGCCAGCCAATGCAGTAGGATGCACGAGTTCCACTTATACACCTGCTTACAGAAACCGAAGGATTAAAACTCGTCCGAAACTCTCGTGTAGCTTCTCACCTTATCTGCCCCAAGTATCAGATGATGCTGCTGAAATTGAGCGCGAAGCTGGCGGAGAAGAAATTCTTACCTTATCTGCCCCAAGTCCCAGAAGATGCTGCCAAAAATGAGCGCGACGCCCGCGGAGAAGAAGTAGCGCACGCCGGTGTACTCGGGCGTCTGCCAGTAGGTGCGGCTGTTCTTCCAGAAGCACGCGGTGAACTGCACCCCGAAGCTGCGCGAGTACTTGCTGTCGAAGCGCAGTTTTGACGCGCCCTCCATGGGCTTGCTCAGTTTGGCAATCAGGTCCTCGTTGCGCCTGAAACGAGGTCCGAAAGCTCAACGACGAATCACAACCAGGACTTTTTGGCCCTTAACCAAGGGCGGTTCTGGGCTGGTTTTGGGCAGGTTAAATTCTGGTTATATGTCCAATAACCAGACTTCGGCGTTAGACAGCCTTGAAAAAGGTCAAAGCCCGGTTAACCGTCCAATAATCCAAGCCTCAAGTCTGTGAAGCAGCCTGGTTGACAGCCAAAACTTTTTGTGAAATGCGGAGCATTCCGCTGAACGGCAAATTGTCACTTGAGGGACGCTACCACCATCGCTTACGGAAGCTTTGCGTGATCCAATGAAGACCGGACTTGAGTACGAGACGCTTTTCAGTATTCAAAAAGACCTGAAAGTGATCATCTGAAGCTACTGCGCTTTGGAAAGCTTACGGATTCCAGCCTCTGCCACCTTTCTAAGCGGGAAGAACCTTCCTCGCATAGAATGCGAAGCTTTAGACTCACTTGAAAAGCGTGCTGCTCTTGTAGTACTCGGCAAAATCGACCCCCAGCTTCTCCTCCATGCCAGGTGTCGTCACCTCGAGCATCCACGTGGACGGGTTGTGGCCGTCGCGGATCTGCGGCACGCCCCTCACGGCCGAGAAGTGCTCGACGAGGAACTTGGACTTGGTCCCAAGCGGGCCGGCTGCATTGCGGAATGCGTTTGTGAGGGCTCAGGAATTAAAAGAAAGACTATGCTTTTGGAAAATGAGACACCGTGGAGAAGAAACATGCAAGCACCAATGATGTTTCCGAGGCTTCTCCGAAGGGTTTTAGTGACCAAAAATACGTTTTACAAACCCTGGTCATGGAGATTGCAGGACCGCAACCAAGGACTCAAAAGGTTTTAGCGACCACAATAGGTTAAGAAAACACTGGTCATGGAGATTCAAAGACCGCCTAGGCTAATGCCTCACGCTTACGTGCTTCAAACGGACTTGCTCCTTGTAAAGGTGAGGGAGAAGCGGCCCTCACCGTAGATGACGTGGCCCCCTCTTTTCATGAGCAGCAGCTCGTCGAAGGCCTCAAAGATATCGATGCTCGGCTGGTGGATCGTACACACGACGGTCCGACCCGTGTCCACCGTGTTGCGGACCGTCCGCATCACAATGGCAGCGGCACGTGCGTCCAATCCGGACGTGGGCTCGTCCATGAAGATGATGCTCGGGTTAGCGACTAACTCGACGGCGATGGTTAGGCGCTTGCGGGCTTCGACGGGCAGGCCGCTTACGCCGGGGGAGCCGACGAGGGCGTTGCGGAGGGGGATTAGCTCGACCAACTCCATAACCTCCTCCACAAACTCCTGCGGAGAACGGAAAAGCGCTGTGGAATCCGAGCGAGCAAAAGCAATGCGTCGCTCCTCAATTGCCGGCTCCCGGTTCCAGAATTACCGACATCAGAGAAAGTTGGAGGACGATTGGCTGTCAAATCTTCAATCACGTAATTGTAATGCAGGCTTTCAGATTGAGCCCACAATGCAGCAGAAAGCTTGCAACAGTTTTGCGCGGCAGACACTCGCGAATCAAACGAAAGGGACCCACGCACCTTGCGCGTCTGCGGATCGACGGTCTCCGAGAGCCTTAGCCAGGCAGAGAAGGTAAGTGCCTCAAAAACAGTCGTTGACGGGCTGTGGATGTCAAACTGTTCCACGTAACCCGACACGCGTGCAAACGAGTCCTGCTCCTTTGGGAATCCGCCCACGAAGACGTCACCCTCGACGTACCCGGCTGTGCGGGACAGCAAAAGTAATCTGTTCAGGTCGCTGCGCATCCAATCCGCATATGCTTTTGGTTCTGCCGCTTTCCGTTATGAGAGGCATTACAGACAAACCCAGGTGACGTGTCGTCCTAGTTTAGAAGAAGATAATCACTGCGGCCAAAGGGCACATGTCAGCAGGGGAGTATCCTTCTTGCTCAGTGACGCAAAGAAGCCTCTGTCGCAAACCTACGGAGCAGAATTTTCGTCTTCTCACAAGACGAAGGATTGCTCATCGTACATTAAATCCAATCAAGCTTAGTATTTGACGGTTGCATGCTTGGCGAGCCGTGTCACTTTGCAAGTTGCTTGAAAGATTGGAAAAAAAGGGGCTTTTCTTAGATACGAGCAGAAAGGAACAGTGTGCGTACTCGTCTTCCTTCCTGCCAACACGTCCATGAGCGTGGTCTTCCCCGCGCCAGACACCCCAACGAGCGCTGTGAGCACACCAGGCCGGAACGCCCCGCTGCAGCCTTTCAAAATCTGCAGCTTGTTGCCTTCCTCGCCCTCTTTCGCCAGGCCCTGCACATCCAACCTCCCGCTAAATTGGACTTTGCTTTACGAATCAGCGCCCCGACTATGTACGGTCTTGAAAGGACTTCAAGGATGCTTCCCACTCAAAAGTCCCCTTTTCAAGAACCTACGCGTTCTGAGAAAACACACCAAATCATAAGATCAATATTGCCTGAAACGTCTCCTTTTTCAGAACAATGCTGGAGTCAATCCTCCCTGCCGATAATGAAATGCGTACTTAAAACCCGGTCTCGGTTGACTGTGCTGCTTCAAAGTGGTTGATATATAGACGTGTCGAGCAAGCTACAACAAAGAGACTTGCTGCGATGGCTCGACTAATCCCCTCCAGTGTAACCATAAGGCCAGTTTGTTATGCACAGAAAACAGAACAGGCGACGCATCTGCGGCACGATGGAGTGGAGCCACGTGCCCTCGTACCTTGGGAACGTCCACTGAGTACCACACGTCGTGGAAGACCATCGAAAGCGGCTCGAAGGGCAACACCATGCCGCGTTTTGCCCCGCCCACTTTCTCATAATACTGCGCGAGCCCAGAGGGAGAGGGCTGCCCCAAGCCGGAGGGAGTGACGGAGGCGCGCCGACTGCTGCCGGGGGTGCGTGACCGCCGACTGCCGGGGGTGCGTGACTGCGCGAGCTCAATTTGAGTCTCGGGTACAATGATAGCTGCACAACAAAGATTTGGTGCCCATTGTGAGAAGTCTGCATAGGAAGAGGGTTGCGAAATCGCGTGCGTTTGCGCAAGAGAAGCGTGGGACAGGGAATCCGTCAGACCTACTTTCAGCGCTATGACCCAACTCTCGAGGCAATTCTTAACCCATGCTTCCGAGAATCGAAGCACAATTCGGACTGCTTCTTTAAAGTTCCTCACCTCTCCGGTGTACTCCAGTATTCTCCTTGGCAACCGGAGTGCCTGCACGCTCGTCAGCGCCGCTCGCTGCCTCCACGACGGGAATGAGGACGCTAACGTTGAGGGCGTCGGTCACGTGCCCAACACGTGCCTTCTCCTTCTCATCCAACACGTCCTCCGAGATGATGGCCTGAGCTGTGCCAATAGCTGCACCGAGAAATGGAGAGCTGGGATGAATGCATTAGACATCCAATTGTGACTGAAGAAGGGCAGAAACGAGCATAATCGGTTCACGTCAAGACAACATCGAGACCTTCGACGCTAAGGATTCGCATGGGCAACGTTCGTTCTCCATATGCTCTTCACTCTAAATCAAGGCCCCCCTACACTACTGCTATATTTGCATGCGCCATTCTTTTCATGGCCATTTCCGAAACCAGGATAAGAAACGTGTCGGAGAGCCAGAGTGGGCTTTGCTTACGTGGGAAGTAGTCCAGCGCGAGGTTGATGAGCACGTTGAAGAGGATAGCGTATCCGACCATGACCCCCACGCTGACCCACACCCACCAGTGCTCGTGGAAAAGGCCACGTGCCGTGAGCACAGAGGCGCCGATGGTCTCGTTGCTGCCGGGCGCGAGCTTTTGCCAGCGGGGCGCGCTGAACTCGTTGATGGCCATGCCCTGTTGCACGTAGCTGAGCGGGCTGATCCAGAACCCCCAGATCCACCACGGGTGGATTTGCGCTGCATGAGAAACCGAGATCGCTTAGAACGAAGAACCACGCCGATTTTTTTGACCGGTATTTCCAACCGCTCAGACGCCCATCCTATAAGCGGAGGTAACTTTCATTGCAAACCGCGAGAGAGTTTGTTTTGAACGAAGAACCACGCCGGTTTTCAAGACCGTTACTTTCAACCGCTCAGACAACCATCCTATAAGGGAGGTGACTTCCATTGCAAACAACGAGAGAGACTTCTTGTCAAGTGCCGTTGGACTTAGCCAGCTTAACAGGTCATTCGACGGCAATCTTGACAGGTCTACGGGCCGCAAGTTGCACACGTAACTCATTGTTGTTGATTTCAGACACGGCGCATTCTGCTCATTTTCAAATTGTTGAACGGCTGTTAATTTGAAGTGGGTTGAGTGCGAAAGGGAGGTAGGCAGTCTTCTGGACACGACAGCCACATCAGTAATGACGACATGACGTCAGGGGATCTAGCAAGGCACGTGTGAAGAAGCAAAGCGAAGCGCTTACGCTTGGCGATGACGAAGCCTCCAAGCAGGAAGATGCACATAAGCGCAAAGGAACCGGCGGTGTTGGCCATGGTCATGGTGCGCGCGAGCACGCCCACGAGCCGGAAGAGAGCCACACCCATTTGGTGCAGAGCGAGCAGGATCAAAAAGTAAGTGAAGAACCTGCGGACGGGCACGTGAGAAAACCTTATAAGACTCAGGTTGCGAAGACTCTGACGCGCATCAGGTATAAGACTCTGACGCGCATCAGGTTGCTACGACTCTGACGCGCATTAGATTGATAAGACTGACAATCCTTTTCAGGCAGCGGGCTGGAATTGAAAGTAGCATGGCTCGCCGCGCCGCCGCAAGGGAAAGCTTTGTGGCACGGATAGTGCTGCACGACTCAATAGTCGGCCTGGTCTTTCAGCAACACCAGGCAGGTATGAATACGGCTCGACTCTTTGAAAAGCTGCGGGTAAACACTTGATGCACAGAGAACTGCCGCATCCTTCTTTCTTTTCAACTGACAGAACCGGCTTCAAAACCTGCAGGCAATGTCTCTGGAGCCAGAAGTGACAAGAGTGTCGTTGAAAAGCGAGCACAAGAGCTGTAGAATTGTAATGGAGCAGCTCCAACAGCTTTCGCGTGTTATTCTGTGACACTTTTTAAACTTACTAGCAATCGGACTGAAACAGGAAGACAAGGCAGCTTACGACGTACCTGCCAGCATCTGGCGCAAGGCCGACGATGTAATACGTGAGGGCGGTCCAGATGAGAACCTCGACCAGGGTGTAGGGCAGCCGTGTGATGATTGACGGCAGGTTGAAGGCCCACGCTGGGTAGAACTGGTCCTCGCGCTGCTTGAAAAAGATGGGCAGCCGGTGCACCTGCGAGGAACGGGAGCTTGCAACTTCATTATTTGCATTGAAGGAGGCGGAGATGACAAAATATGCTTCCGATTTGAGGGCACGCCGGCGACTGACGTGGATGGAGGCCGCCTTAATGGAGAACAAGTGGACGGGAAATGGCGGGGCGAGCAGTGTTTCAGCCCCCGTGACTGGGCCACGTATGGTGGCAAGATCAAGGGTCGGGTTGCAAAGGAAGATCTGATATAGCGATATCCTTGCTAAATGAAGCTCTTCAAATTAATTTTCAAGCCCTTAGGAATCCAGCGGCTCCTTCCTGAGAAACGTTAAATTGTCAAGATCCAAAACGGCCAGGATAAGTGCTCAAAAACAGCCTACTTACGACCGTACATTTGGACCTGTCATTCCAAGAATCGATTCATGAACAGTATGCAGACTATAAAGATTGGAACACTCGGCTCCAAATCCTCCACGCTTGACAACCACAGGCTTGTCCTCACCGTTAGTGATATTTCTGCGTAGCTGTTGAACATGATGTAGACCAGGGAGAAGAAGATCATGCTCAGGTACAGCGAGCCGTCCGCGATGCTGTCCGAATTGAGCGTCGTGCGAAGGAAAACGGTCGCACTTATGATCGCCAAAAGCGCACACTGCATGTAAGAGGAGAGCCTCAACGCTGAGCCTCGGCTCTTGGCTTCAATCACAGCTTTTTGTGAGGGGCATCCTTTGGGCCCCTCTGGGCTTCTATTGAACTTGTTGTCGGAGCAGAGCCCCTCAAGTCTCCACTTCTATTTCAGTACCTTGCATCCACGCAAGTGGACAGTCAGAAGCGCAGGACGGGTCCAAACAGGTTCCCTTCTTTCTACTCAAAGACGCTGAAAAGCTGAACTTGCAAATGCCTTATTAAATGCTCGTAGGTAGCACAAGCATGGTCAACACAATTTGCCGACATAGTCCCCGTCGCCAAAAAAGCTTCAAATGCTCGCGAAGTAGGCTAGATAAAAGAACAACCATTACCTGGACCGTCTTGACGATGTACAGGAAGCTGTTCCGCTTCATGAGAGTCCACTCCCGGTCTAAGCACGCCCTGAAGATTCCCCACTCGAAGTCGCGACCTGCCTTGCTCGGGACAAGGGCCCCGGGCAGCGAGCGCGCCTTATCGAACGGCTGAGATAGCTCCTTGCGGATGAGCCGGCCAACCTCGAAGTCGTCGAAAGCATCCGCAAAGGAGGACACGGGCACGTATGTGTACGGGGTGTCACGTGCCCAGTATTGCTGCAGACAGGGAACAGTGGTCAAAGTCAGAAGACGTTTCGTGGATGTCAACAGGCTTTGTAAGATGCTTGCAGTAGACAATGTAGCAAACATGTGCCGAAGCTTCGTAGCTAGCTTCGTCGGTCTTTCTCAGCAACGAACAAAGACTTGTAAGACTGTTATGCTATTCAAGCAGAAGCAACGCATTTTGTGGCAGCATCTTTCAAGGGGTTCGCAAGACGGGACATCATTTATCGACCAGCATGCCACGTCAGCCACTGATCCCAGGGACACGTGCGCCCTACCTCCTGGTCTTTGCGAGACGTGACCTCCTGAAGAAAGTCTGCGACGCCCTTCCTCTTGGGGCACCGGAACCCCTGCATCTCGAAGAAGTCGAGGATGCGCTCGCGTGGACCCTGGTAGATGACGTGGCCCTCCGACAGCAGCACCACGTCATCAAATAGCTCGAAGGTCTCGGGGGCGGGCTGGAGTAGTGACGTGAACACCGTAGACTGCACGGAGTAATAAAGTCACAGTTGTAACGACTGCTGCAATCTGCCAAGTCTGGTTTATATGCAGAGCCTTACGAGCGCTTGAGCAGAAACGAGCTTCGCTGATAGATATGACACAAAGGAAAGAACTTGTCAAGAAGTCATGAAGACGGAGACACTTGAAGCAATTCTTGGTGCCGAAGCCATCTTACCTTTGTATAGTGGCAGATGTTTTGAAGGCAGTTGACTATCTGGAATGTGGTCGAGCTGTCAAGCCCCGTCGAAATCTCATCCAGCAACTGCACTCCGAAACAGGAGCCTTCAGCTCTCACGTTTAGAAGGTATACAATCATGATGCAAAAGCATGCTGATTGATAGAAAGAGGAGATCGACACATGAAGAAGCAAGCCTGGAGTATGATGAGGCCAGGAGAAACGCAAGTGTGATTGCTGGATCTCGCTTTGAAAAGGCATTGAGGCAACCCGAAATTCAGTAAGTGGCGCCTTACCAGCACTTTCTTCGAGCCGACAAGAAGCTCGCCTGCAAGAAAGTATAGATGACGTCCGTTACTTTGAGCCTGCATCTTACAGTCGGTTACCAGGACAGTAATCCAAACCAACCGGCTCGCTTTCCTTTATCGAAGGTCCTCAAAGTCGTCCTTATGGCTTCCCTTTTTATAGCTTTGGACTGCAGGTCTATGTAGCGCACTTGGGATGCGTGAACCCACAGCTGAGCCCTGCAGCACAAACACACTCACCGGTAGTGACACGTTTCCTCTGCCCTCCCGACACTCCCCTGATCAGCTGGTTCCCAACCAGCGTGTCTGCGCAAATATCCAGCCCCAGGATCTTCATGACGTAATCAGTCACAAGGTTCTCCTTTTGGCCCTCCAGAGCGGACGCCTTCATGAACGCATCGATGTCGGGGTCGGGCACAATGGCGTCCGCCACTTCGCGCCTACCAAGCTCCCGGACAAGATCTGCAGTGCAAGAGAAGATGTTTTGCGGAATCCTGGTTCTGCAGAGCTTTTCACCCCTTTGGATGGCAACTTCAGGAGTGTACTTGCTTCCGAGATGGGGCCCGAAAGTGTCCTTAGCAGACGCACTCCAAAACAGTAGCTGCCCTTCCCCGGTGCACTACTTGTGATCAGATGTCCGATTCTCGATTGGCTTGTGAGCGGCTAAGCTGTCAAGCAGAGAGACGTCATGCCATCGCTCTTGACAAGTGCGTCTGCTGCAACGTCCTCCTCCCACCGCCTCACCTTTGTTTGTCCCTGCTCTCAGACACCTTGCCCCAAAGTCCAGCGTTTCACGCACCGTCAGCTCCCCAATATGCAAGTCCACTTGGGGCACATACGTGACTGTGCGCTTTGGGGAAAACTCCTTTGCGGTATGCCCGTTGTAGGTGATACTTCCTGTTACTTTCAGGTTAGAGTCCAGACGGTTAGCAAGCGCAAGGAGCAATGAGCTCTTCCCGCAACCAGGAGGCCCCAGAAGGAGAGTCAGGCGGCCCTGCAAACGGCAAGTAATGCAGGGTTACAATGTTACTGCAAGGGAGCAAAGCTTATCGGCTCCCAGATTGCAGTCAAGAAAGTAGTAGGTAGTGTCTGACGAGTGCAAGTGTTGCAAGTAACCCCCAGACAAGAGGACAAGCTACCATCGAGACAGTAGTTTCTAAGGGTGAAGGTTTCGCGAGTACAGGTTCTCAAGGTCAGAAAAGACCCAATGCTACTGTCAGACACAAGCATGACAGGAAGAGCTCAACGTTTACCTGAATGTGTTTGCACTAAGTTATCGACATTACAAGCAGTGCTAGCTGGGTGCGACCATGATTGTATCCTACATGGTGCAGACAGAGAGGAGGTTTCTAGGGCTTCTAGCAAGCTAAGACTGCATCAAGATTGATTGTTCAGAGTTGCCAGTAATAAGCGCCTGTAAAACCAGCTGGTGCCAAAGGACAGGGACAAAGCCTCACTGGCTTCAGGACGCCTGAAACTTTTCGAAGGATCTGAAACCTCCTGCGGTTGTCCCTCGTCAGGTGCAGCACCCTGAGAAGAGACTCCATGGCGTTCCTGCTCGCATTGAGCAGGTTGGGAAGCGCACGACCCCCCACGTACACGCCTGCCTCGATGGTGAGGTCATCAAAGCGGATCTCCACCGAAGGCTGTGCAAGCTCAACTCTGGAAGGACGTTGAGTAGCCAGTGAGGGGCTTTGCTGAGCGCTGAGCCTCAGCGTGTAAAGGCCATCAATACATGTTGGCAGCATGATAGGGCAAGAAGCAGTGCGTGATGTCGTAAGGATTGCAATTCTTACATGGGGCACCCCTGCATAGATTGCCAAAACTTCATACCACCCTTGCCAATGCGCTATTCCCTTAGCTCACAGACATGCCATCGAATCAAGAAATTCTTAGGGCCTTGGTTTCCTCACCTGTCTAGTCTGGACCTGTACTTTTGATAATACACGCCATTGTCTTGGTCTGTGGTCGCCAGTGCCCTTTTCACAATTTGCTCCCTCTCCTTCCTGGTCAGGTTCTGGATAGCAAAGGTCACCTCCTTGTCGGGCCCCACCAGCTCGTCAGGCAAGAGTGCACTCTCTGCGCGGAGCTGGGACGGCAGCTGCTCCAGCTTCTCCCGCCTCAGCTCAGTCAGGCTACGGCCGCCTGCTTCCAAGTCCACTGTTCCCTGCAGCTCAGGCAAGCGCCCATGGCCTTCAGCATCGAACGCCATGACCCCCTCTCTTAAGACTGGAGGAGCCCCGTCTGTCACCTCCATCAAGCTGCCAAAATGCTTAGATGGCAATTTTGAGCTCTAAGCTGTGATAACAAGTCCGGGCTAGAGAGCCCCTAGAGAGTAGCTAGGTGCAAGTCCTCTTTTTGGTTGTATTCCTTGTGTTGCTACATATGTACTGTATTATACACAGTCATTCCTGGGCCAATTGCATTCACGGTTAAACCAGTCAATCAAGGGAGCTCTGAAAGTTGCATGTTGACTGTACGGTACTTACACTGCAAGCAATACTAAGTTGCTGTTGCAGCTGTGCAACTTGCAACAATTGCAAATTGCAACCACCAAACCGTGAACTCAGTGCGCGCAAGTTGCATTCCGGACACTTTGGGACTCACCAACCGAGCAGTTAGGTTAGATAGAACCGCAAATGGACGGTTGTTCTGATGACATAGGTACTGTGATTGAGGAGAGGGGCCTACCAAACGAAGTTCAGACTTATCTGGACGGCCAGGATCGCCCCGGACGGATCGTACGGTGGAAATGCGTTAACGCTCATGCCGGATTTGGCAGTGACGGTAAATTCTGTTGCATGTACCGTAGAGGACGCCACGTCACCGGCCCCCACGACGAATTCCGGGCA